TCGCGATGCGGATTCTTGTTGTCGTCGTCGTCCCACCCGCGACCCGCCCCACGACCCACCCGCGACCCACCCCGCGACCCACGGGTCACCCGCGACCCACCCGCGACCCACCCCGCGACCCACCCGCGACCCATCCCGCGAACCACCCGCGACCCACCCGCGACCCACCCGCGACCCACCCCGCGACCCGCCCGCGACCCGCCCGCGACACCCCCCGAGACCCCCCCGGCGACCCACCCGCGACCCACCCGCGACCCATCCGCGACCCACCCGCGACCACACGCGAACCACCACGGCCCACCCGGACCACCGCCCCGCGACCCACCTTCGACCCAAACCACGTTCAAGGTACAAACCACCATTTTCGGCGCCTGCGGCGGGTTTTTTTTTTGCATTCCTTCCAGGTGGAGAGCCCGCGACCCACCCCGTGACCAACTCGCGACCAACCCGCGACCCAAACCACGTTCAGGGTACAAACCACATTTTTCGGCGCCTGCGGCGGGCCTCTTTTGCATTCGTTTCAAGTGGAGAGCCCGCGGCCCACCCGCGACCCAAACCGCGCCCGCGTCCCACCCTCGACCCACCCGCGACCCACCCCGCGACCCACCCAAAAATTTTCGGCGCCTGCGGCGGGCCTCTTTTGCATCCGTTCCAGGTGGAGAACCTGCAACCCACCCGCGACCCAAACCGCGCCCGCGGCCCACCCGCGACCCACCGCGACCCACCCGCGACCCACCCCGCGACCCACCCAAAGTTTTTGGCGCTTGCGGCGGGCCTCTTTGGCATTCGTTCCAGGTGGAGAACCTGCAACCCACCCGCGACCCAAGCCGCGTTCAGTGTACAAATCAAAATGTTCGGCGCCTGCGGCTGGCTGTTTTTGAATTCCGTCCAGGTGGAAGTGGAGAGCCCGCGACCCACCCGCGACCCAAATTACGTCTACTGAACAAGCCAAAACTTCGGCGCCTGCGGCGGGTTTCTTTTGCATTCGTTTCAAGTGGAGAACCTGCGACCCAAATCGCGTTCAGTGTACGAATCAACATTTTCGGCGCCTGCGGCGGGCTGTTTGAGAATTCCTTCCAAATGGAGGTGGAAAGCCAGCGACCCACCCACGACCAAAACTACGTTCACTGAACAAGCCCACAATTCGGCGCCTGCGGCGGGCTGTTTTTGCACTCGTTCCAGGTGGCCCACCAGCGAGTCCCCCCGCGCTGAACTTGTCAGAGCACGCAAATCGGCGCCTGCGGCGGGCTTGCTCGCATTGGTTAGGAGGAGAAGGAGGAGGAAAATGAGGAAGAGGAGGAGGAGGTGGAGGAGCAGGCGGACGACGACGACGACGACGACGACGACGACGACGACGACGACGACGACGACGACGACGACGACGACGACGACGATGAGGACGAGGACGCGGACGAGGAAGAGGAGGAGGAGGAGGAGAAGGAGGAGCAGGAGGAGAAGCAGGAGGAGGAGGAGGAGGGCGCCATCGACAGGGAAGGTGGGGGCCACGAGGTCCGCTGGCTCGACGCCCGCGTCGCCCGCGCCCGCCCCCATCACTCTTATCCGCAATTGCTGGGTGCTGCGTGTGAATATTTCGGGCCCCAGAGGGCTCTAAGACGGGCCAAGAGGGCTCCCAGAGGCAGCCAAGACGGTCCAAGAGGGCGCCGAGTCGCGAAACGATCGCCCCAGGACGCCCAAGATGGCCCCCAGACGGTCCAGGAGGCCTCCCAGACGCCCCAAGAGGCCTCCAAGAGGCCTCCCAGAAAGGGGCCCGAGAAGCCAAAATCGTTGATTACCGGCTGGTTGTTAAAGGAATATGGCCTTCTTGCCTTTGCGGCTTTCCGATGCTCCAAGACGGCCCAAGATGCCCCCAAAGACCGCCTCAAGACAGCCCAACAGGCCTTCAGAAGGGCCCCAAGACGACCCAAGAGGGCCCCAGGACGACCCAAGAGGCCCCCAAGGCCCCCAAAACGGCCCCGAGAGGGGCATAAGAAGGGGACCTGGAACCGAACATTTTAGCATTCCGCTCTAAGGCCCCCAGAAAGCCCCAAGAGGCCCCCAATAGGCACCCAAGAAACGCCAAGGGACCCCAAAGAGGCCCCGAGAGGCCCCAAGAGGCCTGAAGAGGCCTCAAGACGCCTCCCAGAGCTCCCTGAGCATCCTTGAGGCCACTGACCCACCACCCAGGCACGGTGGCGGGAGAGGCCGAAGGCCATCAGGTAAAACACACTCGGAGGGGACAAACCAAATATTCCAACGGGAGGGAGACAGGTCGTCCCTGTGCAAATCCACTGAGTAGCGGCCACAAGGGGCTCTCTCCCTCTCCCGCGGGGCGGTCCTGACGTCAAAGAACGAGAGTCTGGCATTGGAAAGCGTATGAAGCTCGTTAGGCTCCAGCACGCCCCCGCGACGATTTCGGAAATGCGCTATGTTTCTCTTTGCTGCTGCTTCATTTCTTGCTGCCGCTCCCATTCGCGGTTCTTGACGGCGAAGCAAGTGTGCAACTTTTGGGGGGGGTGCAGTCATGACACAGGTAGTTCGAGTTGCACAGCGAACAATGGAATCAGCAGCCCCAGCATACTGGTTTCTTGCACGGATCGTTGTTGAGGGCACGGCCAGGACAGCAGCCCTCAGGACCTTCCGCGCAGCTCGGTCGTCAGTTGGCGCAGGGTTCCTTAATCTAACGCACCTGGACGTTGACGACCGCGATATGGACGAGCTATGTCTGGAGCTCCTAGGGGCGTAGCAGGGGCCACCCTTTCCCGATCTGGATCTCAGGGAGATGGAGCTCGGGGACTGTAGCAGCTGCCTTCCCCGGCGTTGGATTCCCGAGATTAGGCTGGGCACGTCATGGACGCCCAGACCATCGGTCTCGATCTTAGGACGCTTTTCGTAAAACGACACCTTCATGTCGGCCGGGTCTTCTCTCGGAGTCTCGCCGAGACGCGATTCCATCGCGAGCCGCCCGAGAGGTGGTCCTAGAGCCCCCGTTTGGTCTTCACTGTCTTCCCAAATTGGCTTCCCGGCCGGACTTTGGACACGGTCCGCAGTCTCCTTAACTGGCGTCTTGTCGTGCATAGACGTCTCGATCGTCTCCGAAGAGCTCGACACGGAGAATGTCTCTTCCTTGTTTTAAGGGGTTCTTGCCATGCCCTCTTCATCCGACGAATTGGAGTGGGCAACGTAAGCCTGTGCGACGTTGTCCGCAAGAGGGTTCCGGGGGCGGCTCTTGCTGCCGTGCCACTCATCTCTTTCGTCGGACTCACCGTCAGGCACACGCGTGTCCCGCCTACCGCGGTTGACGGGCTTGCCGTCTGTAAATTCTTGTATCTTGGATGCGTTGGGAGGTCGAGGATAACGGTCCATCGACTTGAATATCATACGTGCATGGCGTTGTTAAGCCAAGGTCAATTCCCGCGTTCGGCATTCCTTGCGGGACGAATATCTTTTGAGCCCCAACAAGATGACCAACATGGTCGGTCATCCTTGGATCGGCAATTTCGGCGGATAACCCATCTTCACCCAACTTACGCCCAAAAGGGCCAATCTGATCCAGATGTACTCGTGGTACATGTGGTACTCCTAGCAATGGTTCCAAGGAACGTCTTGGGCTCGAGGATCCCCGAGAGACCATGGCGACAATGTGAACGGCGTCTCCGTTAAGCGGATAGGGAGAAAAGATAATATAATGTCGCGCGCGCCTTTCCTCTTTAATTCCAAACAGCTGTGGGTTAGTCAACACACTGTTCAAGGCACTAAACGTATATATGTATACGGCGGCAGGGAAACGTGTGGTAACGATTCCTCCTCCTCCTCCTCCTCCTCCTCCTCCTTCCTCCTCCTCCTCCTCCTCCTCCTCCTCCGCCTCCGCCTCCGCCTCCGCCCCCGCCTCCTCCTCTTTCGCCTCCACCTCCTCCTCCACCTCCTCCTCCTGCGCACGGAGTTGCGGACGATGAGTTCGCGCGCCCACCGCCGCCGACCCCCTGGAGCTAGGGGTCGCACCCTCCTGGCGAAGCGCGAGACGGGGAGAAAGAGGACGAAGAGAAAAAAAACAAAGCGCCAGACTCACCACGCAGTCCGCCTCCTCCTCCTCCTCCTCCTCCTCCTCCTTATCTTCCTCCTCCTCCTCCTCCTCCTCCTCCTCCCTCCTCCGCCTCCGCCTCCGCCTCCTCCTCCTCCTGCTCCTCCTCCTCCTCCTCGTCCTCATCCTCTTCCTCCTCCTCCCTCCTCCTCCTCCCACCTCCTCCTCCTCCTCCTCCTCCTCCACCTCCTCCTCCTCCGCCTCCTCCTCGTATCCTCCTCATCCTCCTCATCCTCCTCCTCCTCCTTCTTCTCCTCCTCCTCCTCCTTTTCCTGTTCCTCCTCCTCCTCCTTCTCCTGCTCCTCCTCCTGCTCCCAGGGTGGACGAAGAGGGGGGAGAGCAAAGGCGGGGGACAGCGAACCAGCCGCACGGAGCTGTTTTTCCTGGGCGCCTCCCCGAGCGGGAGGCGCACGTGCATCGAGGAATTGACCCTGCGGCGACCGCATGCAGCAAAGACCGCACCCGCCCTCCCCCAATCCCCCTTCTCGCCCGACCCCTCCTCGTCCCCCCCGCCGCTTCCCGATACCACCCTCTCCCGAGTCCCCGAGTCCACCCCTGGAGAAGGGCACCTTTGCGGCCCAGGCCGCGGAGCGCGACGCGCGATCATCTCTTCACACCCCCGCGGTTGACCTTGAACTCCCCCCTTTCCCGACACCCTCCTAAGACGAAGCCAGGACGGGGACAACATGGAACCTGGACAGATCGGGGATCTCTGAGCTGAGACCCGGCGGCTCTGGAGGATGCGGCGGGCGGTGCGGCCGGTCCGGAGCGCTCTGGAACGCTCTGAGAGCTTTCTGGAACGCTCTGGAACGATTTATAACTGTCCCAGTCCCGCCCGACCCCCCTCCCCCTCCCAGGCAAGGGAGGACGTGGGACCAGACTGGCGGGGGGGGGGGCGCGCGCTTTCCGCCGCCCCCACGTCTTGAGGTACATGACCGCCTCGGCGACCGGGGGGCCGCGAAGGGGGCGTCGACTCGGGCTATTGCCAGAGTTGCCCGTGGCCTATGGCCCGGGCGGCGTCAGCGTCAGCGGTGGCGGCGACGGCGTCGACGACGACCGCGACGGCGTCGCTGCGGTCGCCACCGCCACCGCCGCGGGTGGCGTCGGCGACGACCGCGGCGGCGCCGGCGACGACCGCGGCGGCGGCGTCGGCGGAGGCGGCGACGGCGTTGGCTCGGGCGCTGCCGCAGGAGGCCCTGGCCCAAGTTGGCCCCAGGCCCTGGCGGCTTCCAGGGCACCCCTCACGAGGCCCCGACAACGCCAGGGGGCCGAAAAGAAGCGCGAGAAGCTGAGAGCATCGTGGGCTAGTGACACCCGCGGCCCCCCCCCGTCTGTGCGGAACCGAGAAATCTGGCGGATGTGCTCTTCAACCCTGGATCGAGGAGGAGGATCGAGGTTCGAGGATCCAAGCGTCTCAATTTTTCTAACCCCATCTTGGCCCTCCAGAAACCTCTGGAGGTCCTCCTCCTTCTTCTCCTCCTCCTCCCCCTCCTCCTCCTCCTCCTCGTCCTCCCCCTCCTCCTCCTCCTCCCCCTCCTCCCCCTCGATCCTTTTTGCTTAGAAATAACTTATCCCTGTCGCACCCGGAGACCAGTTTTAGGGCGGGCCGGGCGTTTCGCCTGACTTCCTCACCACTAATGACTCTGAAGCTGAAAAAAAAGCAGCAGTTTCACAAATGGAGGGCGGGTGGTTTTCAAAATGTGGCTCTCGCCTCAGCGCCGCGCACATTTCTTCAATTTGCTGTGCAAGAGTTTCACGGATTGGGGGCGGGTGGTTTTCAAAACGTGGCTCTCGCCGTAGCGCTGCTCACATTCGTTGTTATAAATTCTAAGAGCTTCACGGATTGGGGGCGGGTGGTTTTCTAAATGTGTCTCTCGCCTCAGCGCCGCGCACATTCGTTTGCAAACAATTGCAAGAGTTTCACGGGTTGGGGGCGGGTGGTTTTCAGAATGTGGCTCTCGCCTCAGCGCCGCGCACATTCGTTGTTGAAAATTCAAGGGTTTCATGAATTGGGGGCGGGTGGTTTTCAAAATGTGCCTCTCGCCTTAGCGCCGCGCACATTCGTTGCACAGAATTTGCAAGCGCTTCACGGACTGGGGGCGGTTTTCAAAATGTGGCTCTCGCCTCAGCGCCGCGCACTTGCGTTTGTAAAAAATGCGAAGGAACTTCACGGATTGGGGGCGGGTGGTTTTCAAAATGTGCCTCTCGCCTTAGCGCCACGCACATTCGTTGTTGAAAAATTGCTAGAGCTTCACGGATTGAGGGCGGGTGGTTTTCAAAATGTGGCTCTCGCCTTAGCGCCGCGCACATTCGTTCTAAAAGTTTACAAGAGTTCCACGGATTCCCATGATCAACGTACCAGAAATTGCGTCTTCGACAGATTCAGGAATATGCGGGTGCAACAGGTATGTTGATTCGCGGTGTTGAAGTCCCAAGAATGGCGTTCTGACACGATTCCGGATCGTCAAGCCGCAGCAGTCAGGTTGAACCGTGGCGCTGAGATTCCGAAGAGAATTGTTTGACATGCTTCAGGATCTTCAACGGTTGTCTTCCAACGAGGCAGTTCCCTCAATGGAACAAGCCATTGTAGGGGCCTGTGAAGAGGGGGCTTGGAGGGAGGGTCAATTCCAACATCGTTGATGACTCTTGGGTTCACACTGGTCCTCCTCCTCCTCCTGCTCCTGCTCCTGCTCCTGCTCCTGCTCCTGCTCCTCCTCCTCCTCCTCCTCGCTCACCCAACTCCTCGTTTCGCGCCGAGCGGTGCGTGCGACGCGCACCCCTCGGCGCCAAGGTCGCGCAGCGGCGCGCTCCGCCAGCTTGGAGCGCGGTGCTCGGCGCGCGGCTGCCTTCGCGCCCTGGCGCGGGCCCCCCCCCCGGGGGGAACGGGCCGCTGTCCGGCCTAGGCTCGCGGCATGAAGCGGAGGCTGTCCTCGCGCCCCCGCGGGTGGCACTGGAAGGACGCGCCGATGCACCGCCAGGAAGCGTCCACGGCCACCACTCCTCGAGGGGTCCTCGAGATCTCGGGGCTCGGCTCCGAGGCGGCGCCCGTGGCTACGTCCTGGCGCTGCCCCCCCCCTGTCGGACTACCTACAACCTGCCAGGCTTGACGAGGGAGGTCGCCGAGGCAGTCCCCCCGTGCGCCCACTGCAGCGCAGGCAGGTCTGAGATCAGCCGCGCCGTGGGCTTGTGGATGCCACGACACTGGACACCCTAATTAACAGTCCTACCATTGTGTTTAAACTGTCGAAAAATGTATAAACATGTGTTTAAACTAACACATGTTCTAGACATCTGGAAATTATTTGGCAGCATGCTTCCTCTCCGTTGATCGTCTTCCACAAAGACATTACCAAGACATTCCCAAGCTATCTAGACTTGCGGAGACCGCAGTGCACGGCTGGCGGCTGCAGACCCTCAGGCGGCGGAGCTGACACGAGCATCAAAAACATATACTGCCAACCTTGATAACAAGGACGCAAGATAAAGTTGTGGATGCCATGACAATGGACACTCTAACATTCCTACCATTGAATTAAAAATGTGTTTGAACATATCTTAACATCTGGAAATGATTTGGCAGCATACTTCCTCTCCATTAATCGACTTCCCCAATGGTAAAAAGGATGCACGATCAGGATGCAAGGGCCTTGGAAGGCGATGTCGACACTTTGCGAGCGGGGCGCGGCCAGCGGAAGCGACCAAGGATGGGGCGAAGGTGAAGGCTGCAGGGGCAACCTTGGAAAGTCGCTCATCCTCACTGTGAGGGGGTGACTGCACACACCACGTGCCCAGTCAGGGCCATCCTGGGCCTGCACGGATTCCCCCGGGGCCGCAGGCGACCCGAGGAGGAGGAGGAGGTGAAGGAGGAGGGGGAGGAGGAGGAGGTGAAGAAGGGGGAGGGGGAGGAGGAGATGGAGGAGATGGAGGAGGAGGAGGAGGAGGAGGAGGAGGAGGAGGAGGAGGAGGAGGAGGAGATGGAGGAGGAGGAGGAGGAGGAAGAAGAGGAGAAGGAGGAGGAGGAGAAACCTTCCAGTGGGCCCCTGGCAATGTGTGCACACGCCCTCCCGGCCTCAGCCCGGCTGGTCTGCAGCCGGTGCGCCATGCAACGGCCCCAGGATGGCCCAGGCCGGCCATGGCGGTGTGGCGGCGGTGCCTGCTGCGGAGAGTCTCCACAGGTCTCCAGAGGTCCGCGGGCGTCTCCGTGCAGAGGCCCAGAGATCCGATGCTGTCTCGCTTCTGTTCCAATACTAAGGAATCGAACTCTATATACACCGACGCTTCTTCCGGCCATGCATTGGCACACTTGCACTGGAGAGCGGATCCTGGTGTACACGGGACCCTGGTGTATACATTCTTCGTTGTTTCCCCAGGACATCGGGGAAAAAAAATATTCGGGAGCGGCCAAGAGGGGGGTGTCCAAGAGGGGGGGTGCAAATCAAGACAGGCGGCATGTGCGCGGTCCAGCGGGGGGGCCTGGGACGTAATAAAATAAGAAGAGGCGCCATGAAATCTGAGGAAACATCATGGCCCGCTCCATGAAATCCACCCCCCCCCAATCATCACCCCCCTCTTTTCCGCTCCCGAAATATACACCACACCACCCCAGCGCCGTCCTCGACCCTCAAGAAGTCCTGGGACTGAAAAACAGCCCGCCACTGGCAATGTTCATGTTCCGGTTTCCGACATACGGGGCCCCGGAGGTCTCGACCCTTCACAAGGACCGGCTTTTCGTTCCGAGTCTCTCTTGTTACTCCAGATTTCGTAATAAAAGGGAGGGGGTCCCAACCCTCCCAGACGAGAAGTTTTAGACCCCCCCCCCTGGGAGAACCCTCCAAAACATCGTCCCCAGACCCCCCAGGCCCTCCAAGATAGCCTGGAAGAGACCCCCCCGAAATGAGACCCCCCTCCCTTTATTACGAAATCTGGAGTACCGCCCCGGGGCCCAGCAGAGGCCCCCAGAGGCCGAGAACGGAAAAGAGCTGAGCTCCCAGCTTGATGGCTTCAATACGCCGGAGGTCTGGGGGCCTCCCCTCCACAGGCCCTCCGAAGGCCCCTCAGAAGACTCCTCGAACACCCCTCGAGGAGATCCTTCCGAGGGTGCCTTCCTGCGGAGATCCGAGGCCGCGGCCGCATAGCAGTTGCTCCCCTCCGCCGCGTCCTCGCAGGGGGCGTGCGAGTCAAGCTGCGACCCGAGCAACTGTACCTGCGCCCGGTCGGCGGCGCGCCCAGGACAGACAGACAGACAGACGCCATGCACAACATAGGTGCGTTGGCAGAAATTGTAAGACATACTAGACAATTGGGTGAAACGGCAAGCGTGCTAAGCATAGGAGTAGGAGGAGGAGGAGGAGGAGGAGGAAGGAATTCTCGCCGGCTCGAGGTCTTCGATCCCTCTTGTCGGTTGTCGGCGCGGTTTTCCAGCCCCGGTGTTCTCTCCAGCAGCTGCACCTCGCCGAGAGGCGTCCAGGGGTGCCCAGAGCATCCCGGATGGCCGACGCGAGCTATGACCCGAAGACCAGACGGCTCGGCTTGGATCACCGAGGCGGCAGGCCATCGCAGGAGGCGGCGGGGCTTCTCAGAAGCCCTCCGGCCTGCTGAAAAGTCCCCTTGTCGCTCCAGAGAAGGCTCAGGAAGCTTCTCAACAACCAGGGCGGGAGGGTGCGGCCATGCACGCGCGCGCGGGGGGGCCCTGAGACATGAGTCCCCCGGGCGAGGAGGTCTTCTGCAACTCAAACTCAACCTACAAGCCCTTTCCTATCGTCAGGGCCCCATCCCCCCCGTCCTCCTCATTCCCCCCTCCCCCTCCTCACTCCCACCCACCCCTCCATGATCCGTCATTCCTCTCCCATCCTGGCTCGTCCCTCCACCATCCTTCATCCCTCCAGTTTCCTCCTCCCTTCATCTTCCTCTTCCTCCTCCTCCTCCTCCTCCTCCTCCTCCTCCGCCTCCTCCTGTAGAATCCTCTAGAAGCTTCCAATAGCAGCCGAAAAACTACGAGTCCATCTGGAAACGTCCGGAAGCTTTCTACTCCTGCTCCTTCCCCCTTTTCCTCTCGTGTCCATCTCCATCCCCCCTCCATCCTCACCCTCCTCCCTCCTCCCACCTCCTTGCTCTTTGCTCCCCCTCCCCCCCCTCCTCCTCCTCCTCCTCCTCCTCCTCCTCCTCCTCCTCCTTCTCCTCCTCCTCCTCCTCCTCCTCCTCGCCAGTGCAGAAGTCTTGCGACACGTAGAGGAGCACAGAGGAGGGTCGGGACATTTTGTGACGGCGGAGGGTCTGGACTTTTCGTGGCGGCAGATGCTGGTAGACCATTATGAAGTCACACAAGCTGTGCTAAGTTTCCCTCCCCCCTCGCCCAGCGCCGCACATGTCCTGACCGTGCCCACAGGGCCGACGCGTCAATGCCTCACTGCAGAATCGACTGCGCCAACCCGTCGGGAAGCCGTGCCCCCTTCCTCTCTTAGGGCTGGAGCTGTCGGAACCTGGCGGGATTCGGAAGGGGGTCATGAGAGGGGGTGGGTTGGGCGGGAGTGGAAGCTCGCAAAGAGATCGAGAGAGTCTACAAAGCTATCTCCCTTTGTTTGTGCACTGCAGGAGACCGCCCACCGCGCCGGCACGCCGAGCTCGCGCCGACCCGTCTGCGTGCTGGCACGTCGAACGTGCGCCGACTTGTCGAGAGCTGTCCGCAAGGCTTCCCACGCATGCCGCCAGGCCCTCCACGTGCGACGAGCTGCGGCGGAAGCGGGACAACCGATGCGTCCTGCCGCGTGCGAGGGTCATGTTGGCGAGCCACCTCATGTGGGAGAGGAAAGCCACGAGTGAAGCTGGGGAGAGGTTGAGGCGCCCGCAGGGGCCACCGACTTGCTCAGGAAAGCCAGGAGGCGTCACCTGCTGCCCACTGATGGCAAAGTCTGCAGTTTCCCTGCACCGCTTGATTGATTTGGTGGCCTTGCGTAGTTCTAAGTCGGGCCTGTCCCCCTACAGGAGGATTTTCAACGAAAAATATTAAAAAAATGAAAATACTCACGAACGCTTTTTAAATACAAAAAACACTCCAAACATCGCCCCCATACTATATTTTCTTCCTGTCGAGGGACAGGCCCGACTTAAGCGTAGTTCCTGGCCTCGTTCCTCAGCCAGTCCCTCCACTCGTGGTCGTTCCCTGCGGCCCTCGCTTCGCCTTGTCACTTGGGCAATTCGTCGGTCCCCTTGCGTAACTTCCTGCGGATGCACCTGCCAAGGACCTAGCGTTTGACCTCAGCCCACGCTCAAGGAAGCAAGGAGGCGGAGGATGAGGAGGACAAGGGAAAGAGGAGGAGGCGGAAAATCTCCTCTGGATCCACCTACTCATTCGTCCCACGCTTCATCATTCAATCAATTGCCACTTGGTCTCGGCCGTCACGTCCTCAGCGTGACAGCCGCCTGTCTGCCTGAGTGGTTCACCGTTGAAACGCGGCCCGCGCCTTAGTCCCGCTAGCGGGCTCTGAAACGTCCACGCGCAAAGCTCCCCACCATCGCCAGCATCGCCGTCAGAAATCGTGGGCCTCACCATCGTGATTACCATCCTTGCCATCATCGCCACAGCCAACTGCATCCTCATCACCATCGCCACTATCATCACCGTCGTCGACATCGCCACCACCATCGTCATCCACGTAACCACCATCGCCAAACAACTTCATATCACCTCGCCGATTGTCCTGCGATCTCCCGCGGCCTCCAGCGAACGTCGCGACGATGCGCGCGCGTGCGAGCGCAATTGCTGCGAATACTTTGAAGGGGCCCCAGGACACACAAATAAATACACACAAATAAACAGATCCCCCATATTTTCCCATATTTTCTGGGTTTCTGTCTTCCCCCCCACTTCCCATATTTTCCCATATTTTCTGGGGAATCGACATTTAATTGTGTCTGTGTGTTTCTTTTCCTCCTGATACTTTTGCGCGCGCGCATGCGTTGCGAATGTTTAAGTGGTTTCAGCGCGCTCCCCTGCACCATAAAACATTCCAGAACTCCGTTGCAGTCTGTACGTTCGCTTCAGTGCACGCCCCGCCCTCGTGTGCCACTGCCTAAACTGTTAGGCGAATAAACCAGAATATCAGCTCATGGCAATTAGTTGTTGGGCGCCTTCTTGGCAGATTTCTTCCTGCCCGCGGCAGCCGGCGCAGCTGTAGCTTCGCGCTTCGCGGCCGCGGCGGACTTCCCCTTTGCGCTTGGGGGCGCCGGGGTACGACTTGGAAGCCTTCTCGTCCGCCGTCGCAACCTCACGTTGGCGCAAGTGGCCAGCGCCTCCGCGGCCCATGAAACAAATGCGCCACTTCGCCAAACATTAAGCAACGAACCGATGGCGCCCCGACCGCAATCCATGAAAACTGCGCGCGCATCCGCGGGCTGGACATGGACTCCGCGACAGAACTGTCGACGATGCGAAGACGGCGCTGTCCGGCGGTCGATACAGCGCGGATTGCACGCGCACATGTAGACGCGGCCCCTTGCATGGAGCTGGTCAACTATGCAACACTTCAGCTGCTCGCATTATCGTCAAACGCAGACGGCTCGGAAGAAACAAAAGAAAACAAAACAAAAAAACAACAAAAATGCTGACAATTCTGAGGCAAACGACTTTGCAGCGCACGGGCAACGCCTCGCCAAATCACGAGCGGAAGACCCCGCTGTTCTCAGAGCGGCGCTGCTCGCGCAATGCGACGGTCCTCTGCGCGCGCGGGTCAACGACCATGAACCACCCCCCCAAGCGTGGCGGCCCCCGTCGGCCGCGCCCGACGCGGACGGAGCCCTCCTCGAGCGAGAGCAGAGGACGCGAACCTGCCGATGGCCCTCTGCGACCAACTCCTTCACGCTGTCCTCGTCGGCGGAAGGAAAGACGTCGGCGCGGGCATGCCCGCGGCGCGCGCAGAACTCGCCCTCGATAAATGCACAGCTGCTTGTCTACGGATTCCAGCTCCTTGACCGCGCACGGTTGCGTTGCGTTCGGAAACCGACAGATGCGCCGCCCGCTCTGAACTTCTCCCTCCAGGGCCACTCCACGCCGCGAGATGATTCGCAGCCGTGGAAGACCAGGTCCTAGCGACACTGCAGATACTTCGTCACCCAAGCTCGCCCCGCGGACGTCGACAGCTGGCCGCCCCCCGTCTCTTCGGAGAAGAAAACGTTGATGTGCTCGCCGTCGAGAACGCACTGGTTGCACCAGTGGCGCACTCTGCAGCGCTTGTCGCAGCGCCGCCCGAGGCCGCGCGCCACGTCGCACGCGCCCGCCAACTACACGCACACCGCGGTCGCCTCGCCAGCGCTGGCCAATGGGCAATCGCAACGAGCGCACTTTTCCAGTGGCGTCGCTGCATATGCGGGCGGCAGCGGCGCCGGGGCGCCAGCAAGTCTCTCGCGCACTTTCGGCATGGCGCAGAAAAAAAAGCGCGCGGCTGCGCGCTGGCCCGACTAAGCCTGCAATTCAAGCCAACATGGAAACCGCGCCGCCCACCCCCCACCCACTCCCTTGCCAACGCATCGCTGTAATCCGTCGCGCGCAGCACGCATGTCAAGCATGACTGTCGCGTCCTGAAACGCATGCAGGAATGGGCCAACCGACGCATGAAGCACGCCTGCGTCCTGAAACAATAGGCGCCCCGCACATGGCGTCGGCGCGCCATTCGCGCGTCGCTCGGACCACGGCAAGGAAAGCCGGAAATCGCCGGCCCCGGAAGGAGTCGGGCGGTCGGCGAGATCAGTTTCGCTGAGGAGGTGTTCGCATTTTCACGCGAAGAAGCCATGTAAAACTCACCCTTCGCCAAGCAAAGCAACCGCTGGAACCAGATCACACATCGGCCGCTCGCGCGCGATGGGGAAATGCAACCCCCCCGCGCGCACTCGCCAGTAAATCGAAACCCGCAGCAATTTCACGTAGCCGCGCGTTCAGCGGCGCACTTCGGCTTCGTTGTCGGTCGACGCTAGAGGCCGCGAGATAGACAACAGCGCTTGCTTCCACCGTTTAAAATGAATTCGGCGAATTCGCACGGGTGAGCACATGATATTTATGATACTATTCATCGTCGACACGCCTTTCCACACAGGCGCCCAGAAGCGAGCTCGCGCTGCTCCACGGCCGACGCCAGCCCCCCCTGCGCCGCGGAACGCGCGCGTGAACTGCGCCCGCCCAAGCCGAACTCCCACCCCTTGAAGATGGCAAAC